ATGGCAGGACAGAGCAGGCAGGAACTGCACCAAGACGAACCAGGAACACGATTTTTGGTGTTACTGTGCCATGAAATGTGTGTCCGGGGAAGGCTGGTACTGGGTAGGAGCTTCTCATTATTAACAAATGTAAGACACTACTCATTATTACTACTGTCAGAAACTACAGCATCATCTGGGCAGTAGCAGCGGTATTTTCTGGATGAGAACACTCCATTTCTACCTCAAAGAATATCAATTCTTCCTTCACTACCCAGCCTTGTTTAGAGGATACTAGAGCTACTCCCAGCTACAAAGAAAATGTGTCCTAAATAAATGGAGAAGAGAAAGGCAAATAAAGCATTTGATAATACAATCTTGCAACCCGTAGTCTTTTATAGGGGGAAAATAATCTCAACAGCTGGAAGGACACCTTGCCTTGCATCAAGGTCAGATCTTCCAAAGGAACTGAGGCCACAAGGTAGCGCACAGATTGGCCCCAACCCAACCGGTATCCCAAAGAGTACCGTTCCCAATATGCTTTCTTCTACGCATCTCCAAGAGGAAAAGCGAATGCCAAAGCATAAACCCTTGTTATCAAATTACATGTGGATCCAACTACCAAATTAGTAATCTCTTAGCCTCTCATCAGCCTACCGCCCTGCTAAAGCACAAGGACCAAGGAAGACGGGAAGTTAGTAGATTGACTTGGGTGAAAAAGTAGTAGTGCTTCTCATCAGGAATTTACATTCGAGCGCCGTGGCACCTTCCCCGTCCAGGGCCCTTGCAAAGAATGGAGAAAGGCAAGTTGTATTTTTTGTTTCATACGTTCATCACAACAGGAACATCACCCAGATCTAGACTAGGTCCAAGTAATAATCACTGTAATTAGCACTTCATTTATATAATTACCAGCAGACCCCATAACATTTTACAAAGGAGGTAATTACCCATATTTTACAGCTGAGGAAACAGATACAGTGCAGGTGAATAACTTAAAAGAAATCATCAGTAAATCTGTGGCACAGCCAGAGACTGCAATTATCCTTATTCCCAGCCAAGGCTCTCCCCAACAATCCATGCTGAATTCACTTCTGTCTTGTCTGAAGGAATCCAGAGAAAATCTTGTCAGAAGGAATCCAGAGAAAATAAACACAAACTGGAATTTCCAATGTCTAGAAGAGCTGAAAAGCAGACAAGCCAAACCTGAAGGAGAAATAAAAACACATTTTTATCACCGAACATTTTCACCCGAGGTCTGCAGCTAAGAGTGAAGGAAAGACAGGAGGACCCTAGCTCTAGCACAGACAGAAAGCCAAATGCAGGGTTTCGATTGCTACAGGAGTTCTACTTCTGTAAGCAGAGTAAAAGCAGAAGCACAAGACCAAGTCGTGGAAGGCTGCCCAATGGCACCGGCTTACCCCTTCAGCGATCAAAGACCTTAATGCATTTTAAGAATTTAAAGATGAAAGCAATAGCAATAATTAAGGACTTTGCAAAACAATATATACACAGAGCAGCAAGCGGGGTGAGAAGCCTGGGAAATTCACCCCCAACCCCAGAGGAGAAACTCCCCAAGAAGCCGACTGCCAGGGCCCCAGTCCTCCCACGGCCGCTGCTCCAACAGCTGGGTGTAACTGCCCGCAAGCCTGGAGCAGCACTCGGGCTTTCCTCCGAAAAGTGCAAACTCCCCTTCCCCTCCAAGCACGAGAGCAACAGGATTCTCGCCTAGAAACTGCCAGCCCTAAAACACAGTAGTAGGAGACGGCTGCCCATTTGTTAAGTTTACTGCATACAGACAGATTCTGTACAGAAATCTGTTTTCTCTCAGATACAGACTTTGGGGGGGCAGAGGGGGAATCTGTCCGGTACACTTTTTCATCCTGCATGTTTGGATGAGTTTTATTATTAATAGGAAAAAACCTCAATGTTTGCTTGTGTTGACTGATACATCTGTTTTTCAAAGTAGACCAGACTGAAGTCAGCAATTTGTCTGTTGCCTACATGTATTTTATTAAATGAACAGTACATGCAGATGACTGATACACAAGTATGTCTATTAGGTTGAATAAAGCAGATTAGGTTAATCCGATCCCAGCTGCATTACCTGAACTGCAAGACATGCAATGTTCTAGATCTAGTACATGTGCCAAGTATTTCATTTCAGCCATTTAGCCTTATATTAAGGTTAGCATATAAAAGCATCCAGCAGTAGAAGATATTGCATGAATTTAAAAATTAAGACTTGTTTTAGGAGTGGATGTTATCAATATTTCTGCTTTGAATAACAGAAAAACCTCATAAGCAGGAACAAATCTCTCAATAGAGTATTCTCTTAATATTTAAATAGACAAATGTTTTGCTTTGTCAACATTTTGCAGCATTTGTGTAGTTCTTTGATTAAGTGTTTGAAGAAAACATGTATTTTAGTTCCCGTTCAGTAAAAAATGGGCTTGGTAAAATGAATTAAGTTCCGTCATCTCTTGCCATAAAATGGGCAATTGTTACTGATATGACCTACTGTCATCCATATGCAGCAGAAACCCGAAGACAGACTTTAAGCTCAGGTAAATGGTAATGCTATTGCTGTGTTAACGAAGCAGCTTTTCTTACTAATATTTACTGTTGTTTATACAGGAAACTGAGAATAATTCCTATCCTCCCTTTCCAAGGGCTCTACCTCCTCCTTCCTCAGCAGCTCTAGCACCCTGGAAGCCCAGGCAATAGCTAAACAGGCATAATCCATATTCATTACACTGATTTCTGTGAATAACCATCTGCATCTAACAGAATACTTGGAAAGATCATGAAAAAGATAGCATGCATCATCCTGTGTCACCTGAACATCTTGTGAGATATACCCAACCACTTCCATCGCTAAGAGCGCTTACCTTATGAAAAAGCGGCAGAATGGACATGACAAAGTATCTCCTGAAACAAAAGATTCTAGCCATCTTTTAACCTCATGTGTTTTTATATTACTGACTCCAATTCTCAACATCAGACATTTTTATTCCATCACTTTTTTTTTTTCCCCTTGCCATTTGTTCTACCAGGAGGCAGCTGAAAGCCAGCCCTCTGCGCAGAGGAGGGAGATCCCCTTTGGTTTCCAGATGTCTAAAAGTTTTTTTTAAAAACTGCTTTCCTAGAAAGTTAAGGCATTCACATCTAACTGCTGCCAATATAAAATATGTGTTACAAGCGGGAGAAAAATAGTCTTCAAGGAGTTTTCTTGGGCAAAATAAATATTTTTTCCACCGAGTTTTAAAAAACGCTGTTCTGAAGACTGGAGAAATAGCTCGAGATGATTTTGGAGGATCATACTTCTCAGGCTGACAGGCAGCATTAAAACCGGAGTAAAAGCCAAATCCTAGCTATCCAAAACACGCTCGATGTAGGAGCTGCAGCCTTGTATACCAGAATTGGTGACTCTAGGCCTACAAAAACTATTACAGCTAAAATTTGGAACAGGAGGGGAAAAGGAAAAAAACACCCGAACACTTCAAACGCTGATGTAGGCTGCGATTGTCCGTCTCGGCTCCTAACCACTGGGTCAAAGAGAGAAACATGTACGTCAACACAGAGGAGATACTGGTCAGCAGAATTTTGTGAATACTGTTTTTTGACTGCCACGTTATTTTAACAGGTGACTCTGCAAACACAACGAAGGGCAGTTTAAAAACAGAGATCTTGCTGCTTAAGCACAAGATCAGTGCTGGAAATACCACTTTCTCAAGCATGGATGCTAATTAAAAATAGAAGATGTTCCCTGAAACAGACTCTGGTGATGATGGTGCATCCCCGCTGCTCTGGGGTAAAACCTGCTGGGGCTCAGCCCACCAAGCCCCGCAGAGGACTCACGGGTAAATAAGGCAGCTCAGGCTCAGCCCCGTGGCTCAGCAGCACCCCCAGCAAACACTGCAGCGGAGCTTGCTGCAGCCTCTGTTTCTCTAGGGAAAACATCAGCAGGAGGGTTTTCAGATGGGCTTCGGGCTCCTCCAAAAGAGGCCAGACACGGGCAGCGGCCAGGTGAGGTCGGTGGAGCCGACTTGCAATATGTGAACAGCTCACTATAATTTTAATCTGTAGCTCTAATGAATGATATAAAGTTTTATAAGCATCAACAAGGCTCAGAGAAGACCTAAATCCATTTCAGTGCTCATTTAGCAGCTTCTTCTGTGTGCAATTAAAACTTCAGCATTAAATGTTACAGAATAAAATAATGAGACACTTAAAAAATAATCTGTGCTTCAGTGGGCCATGCTCAGTAGATTTCATATGATCATTTACAAGATAAAAATAGAATCTGGCCAAAATCTGTGTCTCGCACACCCGTACCCTTTCAACAGAAAAACAGAAAGAAATGGCTACTGAACTTTGGGGGCTTTACTATCCCATGTTCACACAATACTGCTTCTTTAAGCACATCCGTGCTTAAAGCACATCTCAAAGCGTTGATAACTTTCCTTTTGGCTTCAGTGATAATGTAAAAAATAAATGTAAATTGAGTTTCGATTGGGATTTTCATTTTGGTCTAAAGCCTAATCTTTTATTAAAATAGCTATCAGTTTTAAGCTGGTGGTTAGGAAAAGTTATCTTCAGGACAGGGAACAACATTTTAACGATAAAGAATATTTTTTACTCATAAGAGTATCTTAAATGCTCCCACAACTACTTTGAGCTATCAAAATGTGACCGGGGGTGGGTGGGTGGGTGGGGGGA